ATGCCCCATTTCCTTTTTGAAGTCTCTAACATCCCCCTAACTAAGAGGGACAGATATAAACCCTATTCCAGCTTGGGGGCCACCCATTGGCATCTCTCTTAATGGGAATAGGCTCTCCTGTTTCCTTCTGGATCTACTCCTGGTAACAGGCCCCACATCTGGCATGTCTGAATCCTCCTCCTCGGGGTTCAGATGGGGAGGGGCTCGTGGTGGTGGTACAAATGGAGGGGGGGTATTATCAAAGTGTCTTCTTTTCGAGGTTTCTTTTTCTTTCCCTTCCCCTCCCCCGAATTCTCTGTCAGCTTAAATATAAAAACCTCGGGATTTACTACCCAGATCTCTGCATAAGCACTTTCCTCTGAGCTAAAGGGGATCTTTGTGTTTACCCAGGAATTTAACTTTTGTTTGACACAATCTTCGGTTGATCCAAATATAGGCCAAAATACATTCTTTGAAATTTCCTTTCCTCCCCATACTTCTACACAATAGTGAATCATTTTTGCCCTATCTTTATTTTCTGTTCCCGGGAAATGCTTCCAATTATCTAGTATAAAACCCAACGGACTATCTCTAGGTACCGGTGGGAGTTTAATAGGTACAGGGGGCTTGCTTCTCCCCTGCCCCATTCTTCTGGAGTGCCTTCAAATCACACAGCCTCTTTCACTTCCCCTGGTTCGTGGCCCACGCCCTCGCGGGCTAATGGGAACCGCACTATTGAGGGTCCGCACTCGCTTGGGGAATCTGGCTGCCAGTCCCCCTCTCACACACACACACACTTTGCCACACTCCGGGGTCCCCCCGACCCCGACCGAACGGTTCCTGTAATACTCACGCGTTCTGTGTCTTTGTCCGGACTCTGTGCACAGATTTTAAGGGGTTGACCCTTTTGCTTATTGCCTTAAATTTAGGTTCATCAGTGCAACTGAGGCAGGAACCGGTCCTCCGGGCCGCTAAATATTAGCGGGGTGCCCCCCCAGTAGTGCCGAGAATCTGTCCTACAGATTGCATCCGAGTCACGGCACCAAATTGTTATGAATGCACTCAAGAGAGTGATATGGTTCAATCAGAGAAAAGTTTTATTAATTACAGCAAGCAAGCAATAAGCAAAAGATCAGCGCTGGGCGACAGGGGAGCAGGAGAGTTCCCACTCCGCGAAACTGCCGCGCCGCTGGTTTCCGTATTCCCCCTTTTAACCCGGCTTACGGGTTACGTGTCCTTTCTCTGGCGTCTCTGCACATGTGTCTCCGGTTACTAGGGGGTCTTTTTCTGCCTTCTGGTGAAGGGATGAAAATCATAGGTCTTCCTCAGTCTTATCCTTTTGACCTTTCTTCACTGTTTTCTGTTAAGGCTTATCTTTGTTGACTTTCTGGAATTCAAGAAAGCTCGCAAGGCTGTTAGTGATTTATGCAAGCGTCAGTAGCAACCTTCAACCTCATCCTGATTCAACAAAGCATAGTTTTGCAAAGCATCGTATCTACATGTTTAGGCGAATAAAAGGGTCTCTGCTTATCACAAAGCACACATTGGCTGCCTGCCACTGTGGTGTCGCTGTTGATGCATTCCTTTACCCAATCAGCTCTCTGATCGTGTGGTGGCCACGCATCTCCCCAGCCAATCACTGCCTCACCCATGAGATGACCACCAGCCCACTCTTGGACCATCTGACCTGCAGCTGAACCCTTCCCAGGGTGCTTTTTGGGGAACAAAAGTGAACGGAAGTGACCGGGATTTAACAAAGGTGGAAAAGGTCCTTATTCTTGTAAGGGTTTTCTTATTTCCCACGGTTATGGTCATCACCACCATCTTATGGTCATGGTCACCTCATGGTCATCTCACAGTCACCTCATGGTCACAATCATCTCACAGCCATGGTTGTGTCATGACCATCTCATGGTCTTGATCACCACACAGCTATGGTGTGGTGTGGCCACCTCTTGGTCACCTCTTGGTCAAGATCATGTCATGGTCACAGTCATGGTCATCTCAAGGGCTTCATCATTTCACGGCCATGGTGGTGTCATGGTTATCTTGCGGTCATCTGTCACGATGTCACGATCATCTTGTGGTTGTCTCATGGTCACGGTCATTTCCTGATCACCATCATCTTATGCTCATGGTCATCTCACTGTAATGGTCATCTCATGATCATGCCATTGTCACCTCATGGTCATCTCATGGCTACAATCACATCAGGGTCACCTCAGGGCCAAGGGTCATCTCGTGGCCAAGCCATGGTTATCTCTTGGTCCAAATCATCTCATGGTCAGGGTTGTGGTTGTGTCATGGTCACGGTCATCTCCTGGTCATGGTCACAGTCATGGTTATCCCATGGTCATGGTCATCTCAGGGTTCTGTCACTCATGGTCACTCTCATCTCACGGCCATCTTGTGCTTGTGTCATGGCCGTGGTCATGGCCAGGGAACCTCTCTGTGATCCCAAGCACCGATTTTGGGACACTCAAGGACACTTGGGGACAGCGAGGCCTGGCCTGACCCCTCCCCCCATCCCACTGCCCATCCATGAGCCCAGTGTGGCCAAACCCTCCTGGGGACACCTTGGACATGGGACATGGAGAGGGAAATGAATCCTGGGGAATGGAGCTGGGTGTGGCTGGCAAGTCCCCACCCTGCTCCTGGTGTCCCCAACCCACTCCTGGTGTCTCCATCCTGCTCCTGGTGTCCCACACTGCTCCTGGTGTCCCCATCCTGCTCCTGGTGTCTCAAACCTGTTCCTGGTGTCCCCATCCCAGTCCTGGTGTTCTCACCCTGCTCCTGGGGTCCCCAGTTCCTGGGGTCCCCATTCCCATTCCTGCTGTTCCCATCCCTACTCCCAGTGCCCCCATCCCTGTCCCCAGTGTCCCCATCCCTGTCCCCGATGTCCCCATCCCTGTCCCCGATGTCCCCACTCCCACTCCAGGCTCCCAGAGAGGAACTGCTGGACACTGGAGGAGGAACCCGGATTTCTTGCCCCAAGCAGGATAATTTCACACCAGAACTAAAGCATCAGGAATATTTGTGGGTTTTGGCTCTAAAACATTGGAAAACAGGAAATCGATCTGTTAGCAAGAGCTGTGGGGTGGGTGGCAGCAGTGGGATGAGCTCTGCTGGCAGCTCTAGGCTTTCCCGGGAAGAGGGAAAGGGGCGGATCCAGCTCCGTGGATCACTCCAGCGGTGATTCCTGCCAGGATGAGAGAGGGTCACGGTGTCACCCTGTCCCTGTCCCCATTCCACAGGATGGACCTGGCTGGAGCCCATGGGGAGCAGGAGCTGCTCCAGAATCCCACCTGATCCCACCTCAATCCTGCTCTATCCATACCACCTGATCCTGCTCCATCCATCCCACCTGATCCTGCCACATTCATCCTGCCCCAATCCTTCTCCAGAATCCCACCTGATCCTGCTTGATCCATTCTGCCCCAGTCCCTCTCTGGAATCCCAACTTGATCCTGCTTCATCCATTCTGCACCAATCCTGCTCCATCCATCCCACCTGATCTTGCCACACCCACCCTGTCCCAATCCCTCTCTGGAATCCCAACCTGATCTTGCCCCAATCCTGCTCCATCCATCCCACCCAATTCCATACTGAAATCCCTCCCTGATTCCACTCCATCCATCCATCCATCCATCCATCCATCCATCCATCCATCCATCCATCCATCCATCCATCCATCCATCCACCCTACCCAATCCTGACACATCCACCCTGCTCCAATCCCTCTCGGGAATCCCAACCTGATCCTGCTCCATCCATCCCAACTAATCCCACACTGGAATCCTGCCTTGATCCAGAATCCCACCTGATCCCACCCCATCCCTCCTGCCCCAATCCTGCTCCATTCCATCCCACCTGATTCTTGTCTGGAATCCAGCCCTGATCCCTCTCCATCCATTCCACACCAGTCCTGCTCCATCCATCCCACCTGATCCAGAATCCAGCACTGATCCCACTCAACAATTCCATCTGATCCTGCTCTGGATCCCTGCTCTGATCCAGAATCCCTCCCTGATCCCAGTCCATCCGTCCTGCCTCGATCCCCCTCTGGAATCCTACCCCAATCCCACTCCATACGTGTGATTCAGATGTTGATTCCCATGTTCTTTCCTGCAGAAAGAGAAGATCCGTGAGATTCCAGCATGGATCACACACCGGGATTAACCCCAGGATCCATCCTGGGATGCACAAAGAGGGGATTCAGAGCTGGATCCACCACTGGAACTCACCGGCTGGCGGGTTGTATCCAATCCTGTCCCTCCTCCCTGTGGAAAAACAGCAGGATCAGTGTGGGTGCTGCATTCCCAGAACGGTGCTGGGTGGATCCGTGCCCCTTCCCGACCCCCATCCCGTGTGTTACCGGATTGGAGCCTCCAGATACCAAATCCAATGAGGACAAGGATGAGGACGGCAGCGATGACGGACACAGCGATCACCATGTCGAGATTCCCACCATATGTCGGCTCTGGGAAACGCGGGATGGTGAGGAGGGGAAGCGGAATCCCCATTCCAGAATTCCAAATCCCCAGTTCCCACATTCCCAGCCTCACCCCAAGCGAAGATCCCGGGCTCCAGCATTCCGGGATGCTCCACCCGGCACCGGTACTGCTCCCACTCCTCCGGCAGCGCCTCGATCCTGGCCCAGGTGTGGAAGGTGCCGTCGCTGTTGGGAACGATCCCACCCCACTCCGTCTCCTGATCCCAGATTTCACCGCCCTTCATCCAGTTGACTGTGATGATGTTGGGATAGAATCCGTACACATGGCAGGATAGGATCAGTGTCCCATGTTCCTCTTTTCCGGACACATGGACGTCAGGGGCCACTGGAATGGAATAATGGTGGAACTCATGCATGGAATTCCATGGGAATGGGATGGGGGCGAGATCTGACCATGGAATTCCATGGGAATGGGATGGGAGCGAGATCTGACCATGGAATTCTATGGGAATGGGATGGGGGCAAGATCTGCCCATGGAATTCCGTGGGAATGGGATGGGAGTGAGATCTGCCCATGGAATTCCATGGGAAAGGGATGGGGGTGAGATCTGACCATGGAATTCTATGGGAATGGGATTGGGTGAGATCTGCCCACAGAATTCCATAGGAATGGGAATGGGATGAGAATGAGATCTGCCCATGGAATTCCATGGGAATGGGATGATGGAGATATCCATACATGGAATGCCCACTGGAATGGGACAGTGGCAATATCCACCCATGGAATTCCCATAGGAATTATGGCGTTCCCAAATCCCACCCACCTTTGCGCTCCAGCTCTTTCTGCCCATATCTGACGTATTTCCGGAGCCATTCTGGGCAGACGTGTTTCAGGTTATTCTCCTGCCTCTCAACCTCGTTCTCATCTTCCCAGTGCCTCCGGGTGATCTCAGCAGCGTCGTCGGCCGCCACGAAGCTCTTGGATCCCAGCTCGAAGGAGATGAAATCCCGCCCATCATAGCCGAGCCGCTGGGATCCACGGACGCTCCCGTCAGACAGGAGATCACAGCTGTAAAGCCACTGTATGGTGTGGAGACCTGGGGGAATTGTACCCAGAGAGACCCATGGAATTGTGTCCCAGCCCCACAGATCCCACCCCAGCACCATGGATCCCCCATCCCTGCCCTACAGTTCCCATTCCAGCCACATAGATCCTAGCCCCATGGACCTCCATCCCAGTCCCATGGCTATCCACCCCAGGCCCACAGTTCCCATTCCAGCTGCACAGGTCCCATCCCAGCCCCATTGGATCCCCCATTCCAGCTCTACAGATCCCATCCCAGCCCCACAGATCCCATCCCAGTCCATGGATCTCCATCCCAATCCTACAGTTCCCATCCCAGCCCCACGGATCTCCATCCCAGCCCCACAGATCCCATCCCAGCCCCACAATTCCCATCCCAGCCCCATGGATTTCATCCCAGCCCCACAGATCCCATCCCAGCCCCACAATTCCCATCCCAGCCCCACAGATCTCCATCCCAGCCCCACAGATCCCATCCCAGCCCCATGGATCCACCACTGCCCTACAGTTCCCATCCCACGCCCACAGATCCCATCCCAGCCCCACAGATCCCATCCCAG